CTATGGGATCAGCTATACAGATACTTTTGCACCTATAGCTAAAATCAACACAGTTTGAGTATTGTTGTCTCTAGCTGCGAACTTGGATTGACCATCACAACAATTTGATGTGAAAAACGTCTTTCTACATGGTGAGTTATCCAAAGAAATCCACATGGATCTCCCACCAGGAAACATGATACCAGAAATACATAGTCAGAAGGTGTGCAGGTTAAAGAAATTATTGTATGGGTTGAAACAATCTCCAAGAGCATGGTTTGGAAGATTCATGAAGGCTATGATAACCTTTGGCCACCATCAGAGCAATTCGAACCACACTTTTTTTCTGAAGAAACGACAAAGTAAAATCACTACACTTATTATATATGTAGATGATATGGCAGTCATAGGAAATGATCCTGAAGAAAGGAAAACACTACAAAGTTACTTGTCTAGAGAATTCGAAATAAAAGACCTTGGTTCCTTTAAATTTTTCCTTGGAATTGAAGTGTCCCGGTCTGATAAAGGGATCTTTCTCTATCAAAGGAAATATGCCTTGGATTTGTTACAATAAAATTGGAATGTCAACATTTCAACCAGCTAATACACCAGTGGAAAATGTTTGAAATTATGTGTTGAGTCTACTCAAGTACCCATTGATAAAGGGAGATACCAGAAACTTGTAGGAAGATTGATGTACTTAGCACACGCAAGACCTGATCTTGCCTATGCATTGAGTATTGTGAGTCAATTTATGCATAATCCTGGAGAACAATATATGAATGCTGTTATGCGTATTTTGAGGTATCTAAAATCGGCTCTTGGAAATGGGATTTTGTTCACTAAAAATATAGATTGTCAAAACGTAGAAGCATATACCGATGCTGACTGGGCTGGAGCAGTAGACGACAGACGATCTACTTCAGGATATTTCACCTTTGTAGGTAGTAACCTCGTTACATGGAGAAGTAAAAAACAAAATGTTGTTCACGATCAAGTTCAGAAGCTGAATTTAGAGGTCTGGCTCTTGGAGTTTGGGAAGTGTTATGGCTAAAGCTTCTCTTAAGGGATTTGGGCTATCCACCTAAGCAACCAATTCGACTATATTGTGACAATAAAGCAATATGTGATATTGCCCATAATCTGGTTTAACACGATCGTACAAAGCATGTTGACGTAGATAGATTTTTCATTAAGGAGAAGTTGGATGACCGAATTGTGGAGTTGCCTCACATTCGATCGGAGGATCAGTTGGCGGATTTCCTCACCAAAGCTGTTTCAAATCGAGTATTCTCAAAGTTTTTGGGCATGTATGACATCTTTGAACCAACTTGAGGGCGAGTGTTAAAATATTGGATTGATAGTCAACTATCTTTATAATTATCTTTGAGAGTCTTTCCTATTCTAGAGACAGTGTAGCTGTTCAGTAGGTGTGGACAACTTCATTATACGTGTAACTTGATTGTAGGAACAATAGCTTGATTATATGATAAATACCTTTGACCATTTTCTATATGTACTGTACAAATTCATTGAGAAAAATACAACAATAAAATATTATTTTCAAACTCTACTTTTTCAACTCCATTAAATAAGAAAGAAGGAGTAAAATATGACTCACTTTTTATCATGAAAGTAGTTATGTATGACATAACTGAATGGTTATGAATTTTAGTGCAGCCTTTTTGTTGATTTATCTATTTACCATTAGACTGTTACACCATATAACACTGCTTTGCATGCTGACATGGCGTAACTGTTATACCTAATATTTTTTCCTTCTCAGAGTGAACACACTCGAGGCACTTGGTCAAAATGGAGGCCAATCGTGTTACCCGAGTTGTAATTTTTTATTATTTATTTAAAAATGAAATTTTTTTTTGATGTATAATTATTTAGTTTGTTTAAAAAATACAAAAAATATATAGACCAATTAAATAAAGGTTACCATATCGTTAATGTGTCCATTGCGCCAAACCGTCACAAAGCCACAAGGCTTTCAATTTTAAAATACTTATCTAACAGTCGGTTGGTACTGTATCCATTTTAATATATTCAAGAGTTCCGTATTGTGCTTGATCCAAAAAAAAAAAAAAAAAA